GTCCCCACCAAATGGTATAATCAGGCATGAAACCATATTTCATCAAGTGCAGTTTCACGTCTTCTCTTTCTCTATAGGCTTCGTTTCTACACTTGGAACAAGGACATCTAATGTGGAACACTATCCCACCACGTGTAGTTCCCCTTTCAACATAATCTTCATTGGCATAGGCAATGTCCAAAAAACCTTCCAAGTGTTTAACATAGGTCCGGCTAAGAGCCCCTCGATTATCATTCTTTCTATACATCCATCCTCTATCTGTCGACATATTCAATAACTACAACAAAGAAAGAAGTAGTTAGTTGACATAATCAACGTAGAGGTTTAGAGGAGTTTCAGATGACTTTAAAACTCTAACGGTTTGACTACTTGAAAGTCAAACCGTAGGTGTGAATGAAATTGGCGGTCTTTGAACGAGTTGAGAAGCCTACATGTAAAGTTTTGACTAATAAAAAGTCAAACCATAGGTTTAGATGAGTTTCAAATGACTTTAAAACTCCAAGTGTAACAGTTTGACTACTTGAAACCGTAAGTGTGAATGAAATTGGCGGTCTTTGAACGAGTTGAGAAACCTACATGTAAAGTTTTGACTACTAGAAAGTCAAACCATATGTTTAGAGAAGTTTCGGATGACTTTAAAACTCTAAGTGTAAATGTTTGAACGTAAGTGTAAAGGTTTGAACGAGTAGAGAAGCCTATGTATTTAAAAATTTCGCCGGCATAATGGCTATAAAATGAATATTTCCAAATGAATTAAGTTTAATGTTTGCCCAACAATTGGCAACCCAACTACAAATATATATATATATATATATATATATAATCAAGCCTAATGTTTGCCCAACAATTGACAACACAACTAATTAACACTAACCAATGAATATGTAAAATTTAACAATCAATAAACATAATCATGTTAGCAATGTTCAAAGTACTTGAATTTTAAAAGTGTTATAAAACTATCTTATTTTGTTAGCGTTTTATGTATGTAAACCCGTATTGTTAGAAATTTTTTACATCCCACACATTACACAAATACACGTACCAATATTTAATTACTCAAAAAATATTTAATAAAAATCAATAAATAAACAGATTTATTACACTCTAAAATAAATGATGTGATAAAGCTAACTCTGGAAGGTGATTAAAACAAACCATGTACCAACAGAAGAAATAATTACCAATTTATCTTTTATGTTATTTTAAGATATAACATTAATTATTTAAATGATTGGTTCACATTGATCCTTACAGTTACCACAAACTAATAATTTTCATTTGATTAGGCCCATATATATATATATATATATATATATATATAGGTGGAGGTTCAAACGAGAACCCCTGTGATTTACGAAAACGCGAGAACAACTCAATAACCACAAACTTTTTTAATTAATAAATTAACTTTTATTATATATAAATAATTTAAAAAGGGCAGTATTGTAATTAAGTAATTTTTATAATTTTTATTTTATTTTAATTAACCATGTTTATCTTCACGTTTCCATGTCTTCTTCTCCTTCATTCATGCTTCTCCTTCATTCAAGCRTATTTTYTTTCTCGTTCAACATAATCTTCATGTGATAGTGATATCACATGATTATCACACCCATATCACACCAAATCGGTAGTCGATTTTTTAAGTTAACCCTAGCCGAACG